TATAGTGCTGTAATAAATAGAAATCTTTATTCTATTACAATGTCTAACATGATTTCTGGGTATTTATTTTACATTCCTCTATTTTGAATTCTTATTAGATGTTCATTCATTCCTTTACTCATCCAATTGATCAATACTGATAGAGCACCTATCACATGCTGGCCATTTTTCTACATATAAGAATACAGTAGGGAACAACACTAGTGTATGTTAGGGAACATGCTTTGCTATAAATCCCCACCCACTTCCTCCAGCTTAAATAAAGGAGCTTTGCTTTTGTCATACAATGTGAAATCCAAAGTAGGCAGGTCAGGGCTGCTCTGGTTACTCCACAATGTCCAAATGGATTCAGGAATGTTCCAGCACTCTGTACTGATTTCTTTCTAGTCACAGCTTGACCTCCAGCACTTCCCACATTGTATCTGCATTCCAAGAAGGAAGGACAAGAGAAAGGATATGCAAACCATGACAGTGGAGTTTGATCTCCAGTTCTTTCTGACCTTCCTGGAATCCCACCCTTGACTTTACTTACACTCAAGTGGCCATATCCATGTCATCAGCCACTTTGTTGTTCCCTCCGAGTTCTCTTAGAAGGGAGAAGTAGAGAATCAGAATAAGAATCTGGCAGGCCCTACCACAGTAAGACAAAATTCTTATCCTTACAGAGAAATCAAAAATTTTAGAGGTAAGAGTCTTAGATAATTTTCAACAACTCCAGCCTTGGACCTGTCCTTTATTTTATTTCCACTCACTCCACTGATGATCTCATTCAGTCTCAGGGTGTAAGTGCAATTCTATGCTAGTGACTTCCAAATTTACACTTCCAGTCCAGCCCTCTCCATTGGACCTCAGATCTGAACTTGGAAAAAAAAAAAAAAAAGATCTGAACTTGGATGTCTAATGACCTATCCAAAATGGATTCCTTCCCCAAAACTGTCCTCTCACCCCCAGTCTTCCTCATCTTAGTAGATAATTCTATACATAGTTGCTTAGGTCAACCTAGACTGTTTCTTCACATTTTAAACAGGAAATTCTGTCTTACTCTACCTCCACCTTCTAACTATATCCAGAATCCCACTATTTATCATTATTTGTATCACTAACATTCTAATCCAAGCCACCATTGTTTTATGCCTGCATTACTGCAAGAGCCTCCAAAAATCAGTATCCACAGATAATAATTTGTTAATGAAAGAGATTAAACTCTTTGTTCATGACTTTTCTTCTCTAATAATCATATCCTCATCTTCCCTTTCTGCAACTTACCCTACCATCATTTCCTATACTGTCATTACTCAGAATTGCAACCCCCTAGAATCTCAAGATTATGCACCCCACCTCTGCCAACCACTCTTATCTACCCATTATGTCCTCTACTACTGCCACTACAATATCTCTCCAACTTCCTCAGCGTCTACAATACTTTCACCCTAAACTGTGGCACTCCCCCTTATACTCTCACTTTCTTCTCATTGAGCTTAAATTGCCTGGTCAATAATTTCTTTGTCTACATGCCCCAACTTCCTTGCCCTTCTTCTCTATTGTACTCATTTGGCAAACTCCCAAACCTGATGAAATCACCTCTCCACCTAACCTGAGACTACACCTATAGGCTTGAGCAAAGGGTTAAAAGTGCTAGGCTCTAAGTACAGAGTGATCTGAGAAAAAGCCAAGCATCATTGTTGGCCCTGAGTACTAAAAACAATACTCACGAGACACAGTATACTGTCCCAACTCTAAGTCATATACTAACAGTGATAAGAAAAAGGCAAGACAGAAGTACAGTAAATAGAATGTGTTAAGAGTTAAATTATGCAGTTTAAAAAAAAATCCTTGTTTTTTAAACTTGACTCTTTCTTTGAAGCTTGCTACTGTTTTTTCATGCCTAAGATTGCAAAAAAAGTCAGTGCAGACTGTTAGGAGGAGCTGCACCCTTGTTTCTCCATGTGGAAGGCTTGGGGTATTGGCCTCCCAGGGTCCCTCAGTTCAATACAAATGGCCTGAGTAGGTGTTATGATTTCTGTGTCAAGTCATACCGACATGCATCCACACAGCTGATGTGGCTGGAGAAAAATATATAATCAAGCTGATTGATCCTGCATTCAATTCATGATCACTAACCTCAAATGGAGCATTTAACAGTGCCTGGAAATCATACTTTGTGCCTCCCTGTGCTTATTATTTTGATTCTTATCCATTTCTTACTTTTCCCTTTCATTTCAAACCTCCAACTCCTTTTCCCTCTAATGTTTAGTCTCATATGATGACATTCCTTCATATTCTAATGAAAGAAATAGAAGTAATCCAAAGAGACCACCTACATATCTACCAGCACCTGCGTCCATATATCCAGTCTTGTCTCTGTTAATATAAATGAACTTTGTATTCCTAACTTAGACCAATCCCTTGTGCACTAGATTCCATCTGATTTCATATAGTCAAGGATATCTTGCCAGCAATTCTGTCTTCTATATCATATTTTCCTATTTTATTGGATTATTTCCATTTGTATAAATTATTTCTTTGTCTTAAAAAAATATAAAACCCTTGGATGACTCTATTTTCCTCTCCTAGCCACCATTCTATTAATATTTCTCTTCTTTTACAGCTAAAGTCCCTGGAAAACTGTGTATATTTACTCCCTCCAATCTAACTCTAAGCGTCATCCAATAGGCTTCATCATCACCATTTATTGAAAACAACTCATCAAAGTCAACAAAACATATGTCCTAGTTAGCTTTAGTTCATCTTCAGAACTCAGTCAAGACCCACTAAAACACTTCCTGACTTTTCTAAGTCAATTCATCTATTATGTGTTGTCACAACTACATGACTGTAATTTTATATTTTTGTATAATTCTTCAATTAATGATTCTTCCTCAATAAACTCTAAACTGCATAAGGGCAGGGATAATGTCTGTTTTTCTATCACAATGCATGGTCAGTGTGTAGCACAGTGCCTGGCATATAGGAGGCCATCAATAAATGTTTAGGAGACTAAAATGCTTTATCATTATCATCATCATCCTCATTTTAAACTTGGGAAGGGAGGCTCATAAAAGTAAAGATACTAGCACTAAGGAACAATGTGGATTAGTGCTAGAATGGAAACTAGAAATACCAGAACATAATGGATCACTATGCTCCATTCTGGAGCTGTAATGATAAAATGACATGTGGCCCCTCTTCTCCCAGCTTAGGTCTAATAGAGCCTCCACCATGTTTGGGCTAGACAGAACAAACCACACAATCTAGTGCAATGCCAAGTCATCATTGTGTCCACAAAGGCTTAGTTGCCAGGTCAAAAGAGCAGCTTCACACTGTCAACTGCTCTTGTTTCTGGATCCAAAGTGCCCAAAGAGATGGCCTCTTTCCAAAACAAAACATTCTTTTGAAATTACATCTCAGGCTTCAGAATAAGACTCTTTAGGTACTTATCATTCATCACTGATCTACAAATTATGAACCAGGAAGAACACTGTGAGGAATAAGAAGATCATCTGATCAACTTAAAGTTACAACATTAAGATCAACTGTCAGCTGAAGACCAGTAAGAAAACAAAAAAAAAAAAAATTTTTTTTCAGAAATGAAATTGCCAGGCAAAAAGAACTTGAGGTATACAACTTTTAAGGAATCTACTGCATCAATGACATTTATGTATACTAGTTGAAAGGCTATAGATTTTGAGAATAACAAACCAGTAGGCAGAACTGCCATGAAACACAGTCATGTTTGCTATTTTATGACTACTTCTAGGGGATCATTTGATTTATTATCGAAAATGAGGTACTCTGAGAATAAAAAGAGGCAACATTAAACATTATGCTAGGACAATGGGTGTTTATTAGAACTGTCCCAGGCAAACAAACAGAACTGGTCACCTCTTAGTAACTATCTCTCACTCATTATGCCTGAAAAACCAAGTACTCATTTGGTCATACAAATATCACTTAGGCAAATCAACAGCAGCAACAGTAGCAGCAGCAGCCAGAATAGACAGGATACCAGTCCAGTGTGAGCTTATTTAAGTCACTTTGACCCTAAATGGTCATGCTAATACTTACCATCTCCACTGAACAAAAATACAATGAGTCATTACCTACTTGTTTGTATTTTTTAGTATAACCTCAAACTCCTAGTCTGAAGCATTCCTCCTGCCTCAGTCTCTTGAGTAGATGGGACTATAGGCTCATGCCACCGCACTTGGACAATTTTTAAATATTTTATAAAGACTAGGTCTTGCTATGTTGCTCAGGTTAGTCTTGAACTCTTGGCCTCAAGTGATCCTCCATGTGGGCCCCCCAAGGTGTTGATACCTGGCGTCAATTTATTTTTCTTGCTCCTTCATATGTGATCTACAGTTAATCTTTAAAAAGGCCATTTCTATCCCCATTTGAAGTTTAATTCTGATTTTTAAAAAATATCCTTTTCTGTGCTCAGTCAAATGCAACCATTCTTCAAATTTCCAAAGGATTCCCTCTTTCCTGTTGGGGCTATTAAATGAACCACATTTTTTAAAATCAAGATTGACTTCTAAGTCGTTCACTGGAATCAGTAAGCAATTCATACATACATACATACATACATAAATAAATGTCACTAGCCACGAAACTTTATTGTTGGTATCAATATATACATCCTTCTAAGAAATGTTTTGTGCCATTTACTCAATGGTTACGAACAAATCAGAATCAATTTTACTACTATATTTTTGGTTTGCTTGGCAAGGGAAAATAAAGATTATTGCAAAATTATTAATCAAATCCAAAAGGCCTGGTTAAAAAAGAAAATCTATAAAATGGGAGGACTAAACACTACCAGCCCTACTGTGTCAACAAACACTGTGGAATTCAAACCAAGAAGATAATTCCATACAAGTTTAACAAGGCAGATGTTGGTAAGTAGAAGTGAAGCCATCCATTATATAAAATGGAAACAGGATTAAAGACAAATTACAAAAAGCAAAAAATAATATTTTGGTCAGAAAACCAGTATTACATAAAGCCATATAGGGATGTCTATTAGTTGTTTTCTTCAAGGAGAAAATAAATCAAACTATCAGTTTTCTATTTATTCAGAAGGAAAAAATAAAGAATGTGTTTGGAAGATATTTCTGATATTAAGTGAATATTTTCTCATCAACTATCTAAAACTCGTAAAAATCTGATTTATCTTTGTCAGACTTTAATAAAAGGAGGGAACAGAAACAGTGTTTAGTTTTCAGCAGGACACTCACAACACCCGGATGAGGTCCAGAGTAATCCTAGATCGGGGGATGTCAACATTGAGCACTCGGACCTCCACTCTTTCTCCAGGGCCCAGTCCTAGGCTCCTTCTCTTCTTCGTTTTAGAAAGTTTTGCTTCTGTTACACTTCGTATGGGAATCAGCCCTGATTTCCCCACTCCTATATCCACAAAAATTCCAAACAGAGTGGCATTCTCGACTTTGCCTGTAAGAACTGTCCCAACTTGCAGATCTTCCAAGCACACTATGCTTCTCTTGAAATCAGGCTTATCAAAATCTATAAGGAAAGGGAAAAAAATTAGCTATAACTAATAAGGCATTATGCTTCCTTAACAATAAGCATTCCCGGAGTTATCAGTTATGTGCCCAGACCATTACCAAGCATTGAGATGGGACATAAAAGGAGCTGAAGACACAGGCTTGCCTTCAGAGAAAATGCATCCTCGATGAAGAAACCTCGTTTGCACACTTGAAACAATTATAAAATTTATTCAAATACTTTCTTATCTCCAAACTCTATTTTACTGGCAGGTATACATTAGCACTATATATGAAGACTGAGAAGACTAGGGTCTTTTTTTTTTTTCTTGTGAGATGATGAGAATATATCTTTGTTTAATGAATACACAAGGCTAATGACAAACACTGAGAAAGTAAGACCTTTGAAGACAGGTGACTGGGGATCCTTCCCCTTTGGATTCTTAAATTGTTTAAAGGTGGCAGAAAGTACATTGACTTTTGGGCAAATATGAATGAAATTCAGATTTTTCTCTTTCCTCACTTCTTCCTACAAATTTGCAACTCAGAAAATCAATTACTATTCATTGGTTCTTGATTATATGTGGCTCAGAAACCCAGACCAGCTAGTACTTAATCTTCTTTTTCTTCAATTCAATTCATCAAACATTTATTTACTCCTTTTATTACCTCCTAGCCGGGCACTCTGCTGGGTGCTAGAGATGTAAAGATGAAGACATTCAGATCTCTGTTCTCAAGTTCCTTATGACTCTCTTTTCTTGCTTACTTCAGTGTACATTTCTCTGTTCACTAACGCTATCTCCCAAAAGGTGGGTATAAAGCATGCCAGGGAATCATCATGGCTCCAGTCAAAATGAAAACAAAAGGTTTCATGAGGGAGACAGAACTAACAGTTGAAATGGGGCTTGTGGATGATCTGTGGGCTCCACTTATCCACGCTCTCGCGAAGGCCTCCTTCCCTAGGATTACTGAGTGTTGACTCTAATAACAAAGAACACATTCTATGCTTGGATCTCCATTTACTAAGACTTCATTTTCCCCTCCACCCATTCCATTTCCTTTTCCTCCACAGCTGTTGGCTTTATCCTGATTACTTGTTAAAGCTATCCTTTACATTTGTATTAACAACTGGTCACCTCTTTCTTCCCCTCCCCCAGTCCAATCATACTGAAGCCAAGATGTTTTAAAAGTTAAGCTTTTTCCTGTAAAACAAAACAAAAATCCTCTTTAAACCCCAAATCTCACTTTCCTTATGAAGTAAGAATATGTAAAAATTGGAATTGATCCTGTAGAATTTCACCTGATACTAAAGATTTGAATTCTAAAAGCAAGAAATCTACTGTAATGTAATGTAATATTACATTGGGCTAGGACTGTGTCAAAGCAAAGTGAAACTAAGTCCTAGATCAGGGGTAGGATGGTCTGTGAAGCCCCAGAGGCATCGTTTTTATGCTCCATAACTCTTTTTCCCCTCTTTCTTGCAGAAGTCCAGCTGCTGCAGATTCCCAAAGGGTTCCTGATCAGCTGCTCAGTTTAATTTTGCATGGAAAATTAGAGTCAGGAACTACTTAACTTGTTCCTGAAGACAGTCTGGGACAGTGAGAAATCAAAAAATCCTCTGTGTACCATGAAGACTTTAACACTTTCATAGCCAAAGCTACATATTCAGTCCACTGTCACCAGACTGCTCTGATGCACTCAGTTATGGAAATTAACTAGCAACCAGAGTGTTAATACAAATAGAATTGATTATGTCACTGAGAAAACATAAGACGAGTATGAGGAAAGAATGAAGCATTAAGAAAGGAAATACTTTTGAGAAAATGGAAGAAAGAGATATAACATAAATACTTTAATGTGGAAACACCCAAAATAGTAGCTACTCCCTCAAAAGAATGGCTTATTTGCCTTCCTCCTTGGGGATATGTTTAGTAATAAAACAAAAGTTCTCAGACACCTTGAAAATTGTGACTTACATTAGGGCAGAGGTCAGTTCCAAAGTTTGCTTAAAGAGACCTATTTGAAATTTCACTTGTCACACTGATGAACACTGCAGTAACTAGAAAGCTCAGTCCAGAGCCCAGGTGCATCTGTGTTTTGCTCAGCTCAGTTGGCTGTTTAACTGTATCATATAATTTGAGCACTAACCTTTGCCCTGAGGCTGTAGGATAACTGGGATAATGAAGCAATCAACAGAAAAGTGAAGATGGACAGATAATCCAGTATAGGATACTTGTAGTTATAGCATATTTCCCCACCTTCTAAAGCAGTGGGGATAGGCTTACCCTGTGTATATCTCACCCTTTTTAAGAACTACTGCTCTCCTTAATATCTTGGCTAGACAACACCCTTGGAATTACCATAAAAGGATACCAGAATACCAGGCCTCCAAATAGAGATGGATTTGTCTGCTGAGATATCCACTTTGTGTGGACCATCTGGAGGCTTCTGCTCTCACATTTTGGCATAGGCCTTACTAGGTATTATTTATGTTTCTTTTACTTAAAAAAAAAAATTAAGACCTATGGTATAATAAAGAATAAACTTTCTGGGTGTATTTTTAAATTCTCTCAAACCCATGGTTCTCAACCTTCCTAATGCTGTGATGTATTTTCATTGTTACAAAGAGGTCACGACCCACAGATTGAGAACCGCTATAGTAAACCTTGTCAAAGAAGAATGTCTAACCACCTCAACGTAGCCCAAATCAGAATAAATAGAACCAAACCTTAAATATGACATCATGAAAACTGGTTATGGGATAAATGTACAGATTCATTTAAATCTCAGTGGTTCCTGTTTAAACTTCCCTTGGAAAGTAGGCTATTTGATACTGTAATTCTTTTCCACTGGGTCAGTGCTCTCAACAACTATGGCTGTTATACTTCTCTCACTATCTACCTGTGCTGAAAGCTGAGAGCACGTTTAATTAGCAGGAAAATCAACAGGGAGATAGTATCTTACTTCTTCAATGGATTCATTGACACAGAATCCAAAAACGTAGAAGGCTGTAATATAGGAAGAAGATTCACTTTTTAGCTTGTGAACCAAATGCTTCATCTTAGACTTCTGGCTTCTAGGAGGTAAAAATAGCTTTAAAAAATCATGAAAAAGGCTCGGCGCCTGTGGCTCAAGTGGCTAAGGCGCCAGCCACGTACACCCAAGGTGGCAGGTTCGAATCCGGCCCAGGCCCACCAAACAACAATGA